TTCTCCGTTATACCTTTCTAAATTTGAAATACTGCATGGCAAACAAATCGACAATCTGTGTTAAAAACTTCACATGAATTGCACTTAGTAAAAAACTTTGTGTGGAGGATCTTGTGACACTCCGATAAGGATGACTCCTATGCATTGCAAAGTACAGATAGGAGTACCTACCACAGTATGGTTTCTGTATTAGGAAATGGGCAGCAGCTGCCTCTAGCCGCACTGTACCTAGAACATCCGTTGTGATTATAATATCTTGCTCAACCTCAGAGCAGACTTGATGCCCAAGGGCTCACATTGTAGCCTACTACTGCTCCAGTGAAAAAAATGGGGTTGGGTGGGTGGGACGCTTCTCGTCTGGCAGTCAAGCTGGCTGTCTGCCTTGACTTTCCCACACACTGGCACAGCGCCACTGCACACGGACAGGTCACCCGCTGGCACACCCCCCTCGCTCCATGTTAACTACATCTAATACTAGTATTGAACTACATTTAACATTCTACATGGATAGCATAATATGAACCCGACAGAGAGGTCCATACGGCTTCTTTATTATTATGGTGAATTGCGCACACCACTACCTTCGCCCTAGCCGAGAGGCCCAGTCCGACCTGGAATGTTCAGACACCTTCAACAGGTTGATCAGTCGTCTGAGAAAGGCACGCCCGGACCTAATGACTTTCACTGCGTGAGAGAGCCTGCCGATGATTGAGAGGAAGTCCCTCTTGGTGCGGCTCTATTTGCCCCTCCAGTCCTGTGATAACTTAAGCAAATTCGCAAGCTTCAATTCCATAGACATTGTGTCCAGCTCTATGCCGAGGAATTGCAGCTTGGACGTGGGACCTTCTGACTTCTTTCCTCGACTGGCACTCAACGTTCCTCGCGGGGGTCTCCGTCGTCAATGATTTCATCACCATGGGCAAGGCGGGGACATGAGAATATCAGGATCATGCATGAGACATGCAGCTGCATCATCCCCTGAATAGCATCCGCCACTGCCGAGAAGAGCATGGGGGCAGAGCGCAGGCCCAAAGGCAGGCATTTGTCCACGTACACCATCTCTTGCCACTGGATACAGAGCAACCTCCTGTCGTCTGGTTGGACTGGGACAAGCTGGTATGCCTGCTTGATGTCCATCTTAGCCAGCTGCGTATCGTCGCCCAACTGCTCGCACTGACGTGTAAGAGAGGCTGGACATTTCTTTCCTGGTGCTGTCGTTTGCACTGTTACCCTCAGGGGCCTAAAGATCAACAATTAGTCTCCAGCTACTCGATTTACTCTTCTTTGGGATACCCCATGGGGCTGTACTGGACCCCAAATTTCTTCGCTTCCCGCGTGCTCACCATGATCAGCCGATTGAGGCCCAGCTGCCTTCCGATGTACTCATCAACAATACTGGCATCTGGGCATGGCATGCTTTCGCGTACTTGCCTTAGATAGAACCACAAGCCGTCGTAAGCCAATCCTGAAACTTTGCTCCAGACCAGTAAGTATGTACTGTGCGAAGTCCTGGACTGAACTTTGCCAGGCCAGCCTTCTATCTTTCCATGTGTACTGGTGTCTCTACGTATGTGTGACTATGCTGCCGCCGAGGCTGGGTGGCAGGTGTCTAGCTCTGAAAGCTGCACCATATACTTGTACTTGCTTGACCATACAACCACCCCAGGTGCTGCAAGGGAACGTACGTGTGTGGTGATGATGAGTCCATAGGAGTGTAAGAAAGGTATTGTGTCACAGCCATTTAGGGAGCACCAAACTAGAATTAGGCCTTTTATGGTAAGCTGCTGAGGGGGCAGGAGGCATACACATAGAATGAACTCAGCATATAACGTCTACAGGTGAGTCCAAGGTCTGTCGCCTACGGCTATAGTCTGCTGTGCTCTTTCTTGTTACCGGGCAGTGGCTGCAAGGCTGGCCTGGCTTCTCACACCCTTCACATCTGTGCTGATAAATGCATGTTTCCCCCAACTTGCAGTCACCGTTGAACTGTATACTTTTTGCGGGTGTGATCAACACTGCGTGGGGTCGGTCTCTTACGAGCTCCTCTGCTCAAACTGCTCCGCTCCGAAGTGCCTCTTGCGAGTTCCCGTTAGCCGTGTGTCGACTGGCTTGGCGGCCTTCATGGGGCACTTTTCCGTGGAGTGCTCGACCGACTGGCAAATTTTGCACCACCCTTCAGCTGCAATCACTGCACTTGTAAAGCACTGAGTGTAAATACTGGGATCGGCTCTGTCCCCCTCCCCTACCTGCCCCTTCCTGGCTAATGCAATGGACACACAGCCCGGCCCGCTCGCCCTGCACTAGCAAAGCGTACGGCCTGGCCCTCGCCGTCTAGCACATGCACCAGCAATGCCTCTGCATCGCGCTTGCTGCTAGGGTAACTGGGCAAAGTCTACATAGTTACCAGCTCCCGCCCGCCACCCTTGCTTGTCTAGCCGTGGCTTTCTGTCATTTGATCACACCCAGAAAAGGTGGAGACTGAAGGAAGTACGTAGAAATTACACATGGAGGTACATTGGGATTCCCGACACTGAAGAGCCACCACCACGTACTTCGCTATCTCAGCTGTCAGTAGGAGGTGGATCACTCGGATCGCGAGGTCAGAACGTAGAGCTGAGGAGTCGATTGTCGACGAAACGCTTCTTGTCTGGCAGCCAAGCTGGCTGTCTACGTCGAGTTGGCCGTGCACTGGCACAGTGCCACTGCGTATGCGTTGGTCACCCACCGGCACACCTTCCTCACTCAACGTTAACTACTTACTATTGAACTGCATTCACATTAAACTTTACAATGACAAATTAATTACTGTGATCTGATCGAATCCTCCAAAAATGTTTTACCAGTGCCTAGAAAATCTCATGATTGTCTTCAGAGACATGGATGTTACGAGCATTGCACAACATTTTGCATGTTACGTATGTAAGCTTCAGAGCAAATAAGGTGTGCTAACTTGCTCATGCCAATACTGAATACTATGCAACCCATTGCTAGTACACAAAGTGAACATTAAGAGTTTTAACAGAAACAGACATCCCCAAGTGTTAATGCATATGAGTTGCTTATGCTGGGCTATCCGAAAGTTTGTACACTGATGTACGTACCATGACAACACTTCATCCAAAAGAATTACATAAGTTTGTAAGTTTGTAAACAGCAACAAACACCATCAAACCATTAACAAACACCCTCATGCCATTATAACTTTTAGTTCCTCTAAGTTACTTATGCTGGATAAAAATTAAGTTCAACAACCAGCCAATAGGCAATAAAAAAAACTTGTAGATCTTTTTGATAACTAGGTCAAAAAAATTGTTACATTTCCCTTTCCGTGTTCAGGCATGTCAGCAACATTTATATTGATGGGACATGAATAGTGTGCGTCTTCTATTTTAATACGCTTTTTCCGCTCCCGTATGGGACCTGAACTCATGAATAGACGACATTAAAGAAAAATTTGAAACTATATTCCTGAGCAAAGTAGGATTAACTATAAATATTAATAATGTGGTTAAGTATATACCTACTTAAGAAAATTGTTGATATATGGGTGGTATAAAAGCAAGGAGACAATACAGGGATTAGTGGTGGATATATGCAGTGGTACATTGCATGAGGATCACAATTAATTTGCTAATGCATATTTCCACCATACGACTTAGCCCTATGTATATTGTCACCACTTAAGACCAAGAACTGTTAAAGTGAGTGACATACACTCTCTACAGTACATAATAAAAAGCACTAAAGTGCAAACCCTTGGCAAACTGCGCATGCGTGGTACCGCTAAAATTGATGGGCTGGGCTATTAGTATGCGTTTACTCGTGGTCTCCCGCTAGTAGCTCGCAGAGAGTCTGACACAGGCTAGCTACAGTAGTACATAGTATGCGATAGTTGATACGCGCCATTCGTTATGACTTCTTGTTCCTTCAAAATACACAGAGCAAGCGCACCCGGTCGAGGTAAGCCTGTGCTAAATATAAGCGCATGTGCATTATCCACAGTGATAAAATGGTGACTACCGGCATTGTCCGTACAATGCTGGAAACGCTCTAGCTTTGCAACGGAGCATTTTCAGAGAAAACCATTCGAAATTTCTGACCTTGTTGCCCGTTAAGTAGATTTTATCCTTTGTGAGACGAACAAACACTCGAGAAGTGAGATGGAGAGTAACGGACAGACACACACACACACACACACACACACAGACATACAGACCCAACTACCGTACCCTCGCTGCGCATGCGCGAGGGTAATAACGTCATATACTGTAACCACAACCAAGTAGCAAGCCACAACACTTATATGCCGCAGGAGTTTATGAGCCAGAGCCCAAACCACGCATATAATAATCCAATTAGCAAGAAGCGCACTAACTGAATGGCTTTGTGACAGTACAGGGCCTGTGTTGTGGAAAATATGCATAAGAAAGTGATTTATTTGTGTAGCCCTTATCCAACATAGCACTTCAAGTGTGTGCCTGTGTTGTCTCCTACCCATTCATGTATTCAAAGGTGAATACATGAATGGGTAGGGGACAACGACTAAGTACTGGTCATTACTACACTGAGACCCTGGCCTTTTACTTGTATTAAAAGGTCGGAGTCTTTTACATGTATGAAAAGGTGAATACATGAATGGGTAGGGGACAACGACTAAGTACTGGTCATTACTACACTGAGACCCTGGCCTTTTACTTGTATTAAAAGGTCGGAGTCTTTTACATGTATGAAAAGGTCAGGATCTCAGTGTAGTAATGACCAGTACTTAAGTTAGTTGTGGACTGTTTTTACATTGTTTGTGTTCTCGTTGTACTGCAGAGTTATGGAACTACCCTTGAAAGGAATATCAAAGCACTCAATATGTCAACTAAAGGGATTACATTTGGCCTTGAGTCCTTTATGTCTGAAAAAGTGCGCGAAGATAGTTTGATGTTATGGCAACTGCTAACAAGGTCTGGTGAATATTTTTGTGTGCGTTTTGAAACCTTTCTCTGATGTTGTCATTAGTTTCATAACCTTTGAATGTGTCGAGGGCAATTCCCTAACCAAACAGATCCCTTCTATGCTAACAATTACGTTATCGCACAACATGAATAATGCTTAGTCCCCAGTAGCAGTATGTCCTTTATTCATCGTCTTCACGGCTTTACTGCATATCTCAACACTGACTTTTCTGTGTAAACATACATACTTTCCACCTAGACCAGTTTTCTGCCTACCCTAAGACATGGTGGTTACACTGCAACATTTTGTCCTGAAGACACCAGAAGGGAGCGAACCCGACATGGTTGAGCCTGACAGTGACGATGGATATCGTCTCCAAAAACTCACTAGATACTGTGGTATATAAATTTGCTGCAAAACAGTAAGAACCAGTGCATGACTAGGATTGAGCTGCTAAAAGGTTAATTTTGGGGTTGATCATGAGCAAGACAGTGAAATAATACCCCACAATATTATATTGGCAACTACTGGAATTTCCTTCAAGGAGCTACTGCTGACACTCTTGTTTGGTGGCAATCACATACAACTGTCAACATGTGTAGCCCTTTAGAAATCAAACTGATGAGGGTGACCAGCACCATCCCTCAGAGGCGGGTCACCAATGAACAGTAATTGAGTCCCTGCAATCCTCGGCAGACCCATCCTGAGAAGAATGTCACAGCCTTACATCCGACCAGTTTCTTCCACCATCACACTCCCCTCTGTTATCTGCAGTTCAAGAAGTGTGGCATTGTCGTTGATAGACCAGTACAGCATGTAGCAACCTCATGTGCTGCACGTGTGCTGTGAAAGCACTGAGACAGGCCTGCAAGAATACCAAACCCATCTCAGCAGGAGCAGTTGACTCCAACAAAAAAGCTACACAGTTGCTTTTTAGCTGAGTCAGTGGGGTGTTGCTACCTGCATATGGGGACAAGGGTGTGCGCGACTAACACCCGTGCTAGCACAGAAAGTGCCAGTTTCCCTGTTTTTCTTTTGCTGGGCAAAAGGTTAAGACCTTAGTTACGTATAGAGTGTAAAAGTACCGTGTACCAAGCAGCACTTTTTGGCAGCCAATTTTATCAGTGGTTGTTTGTCCAAAAACATATTTTGTCTGTATATACCTGTATGGCCCTTTTAAACCTGCACCTTCAACTTTTAGTATGTAGTACATATAATTTTCACGTCCATGAGAATTACGGTTTGCAAGTTTGAGGAGTGAATACATAGTTAAAAATGCAATTTTTGTGGTTATAAAAATGTTTATGTCATGTTACAACTCTTCATCTACATGTTTGTAAGTTTCTGGAGTTGAGTGCTTCCCCTAAGACCTGACCTGTAGTACGGCACACCATGGAGGTATAAGGGTTCGTGAAGAACTGGTATAAGTGCTACCCGATAGCCGAAACTGATTGTGTAAGAGACTGCGTGGCACTTTGGCCTGGCCCATCTATTTTGTGGATGCTTTTATGGCCATGCTCTGCTTTATCATTCTATTACATGTCCATTTGTGCCTAAGGTTTGCTTTGGCACTATTCAGTAATTGGTGTCGATTATGATGGAGAAGGAAGATGCCTATGCTTTTTCTCCAATAGGACTGAAAGAATGTGTGCAATGCTGCTCCCCACATTTTCTTTAGGCAATTTGGGCCTGAAGTAAAAGTAGATAGCTATAAATAGCCACTTGCAAATATTTAACCGCTTGGGAGCATATTTTTCCAAATACATTTTTACGGCCATAGAGATGTTTAACCCTCGGTGCGCATGCGCAGCGAGGGTTACAGTAGTTGGTCTGTGTGTCTGTCTGTCCACGACTATTCTCGCACTACAGGCTACAAGGCGGCCTAAGAGTGATACCAAACGCTTCAGTGCTACGTAGAAGCGCATGAAAAATAAAATGTCGATTTTTCTGAAACGACAGCATTCGATCGCGAGAAACTGGCACAGTCCCAGACCACGTAGGGTGGCCCAACCCATCAATTGGTGGTGCACATGCGTATTGATTCACGCGCGCACGCATATGGGGCACACACCGCAGTGTGTGTAACTTTGACATTTCTAGTGCGCTGAGGGTTTGCACTTTAGTGCTTTTCGTTCTAGTTGGGAGAAGTTCTTGATTTTTGGTGGGTTTTTCTCCGATGTTAACTGTAATGTTTTTCACCTTTTTTATAGGGATGATTATTCACTTGTTCTAGACACATTCTGTTCATCTACTGATGCTGAACCGTGGTGTGGTAATGCTCTTGGAGCATGTTGTGATTCCCTTCTTAAAGTTTTTATGGGTATGTAAGCATCTGAGGCGATAGCTTAAGGCCACTAATGTTACTTTTTTTCTCGTTTTTATGGGCTTATACCCAAAACCATACCTTTTCCCCAAGCATTTCAGCAATGTTTTTGCGATGTATTGTTACAGATCTCGCAACTGATGTTGAAATCTGCAGCACCTTGTCAGAATTTGAAATCAATGAGTCCCAAAGTATGGTTAGTGCATTAGTGTTTAATAAAGTGTGAGGGGCATTTTGGCATGAAACTCAATTTTTAAACTGCAATAATAGCCCAGTTGCGCGTTAGGCAAAGAATTTTAATAAACATTTTAATCACGTGTGACGTCATTGCCGGTTGCTCCTGGTGGCCAGGAAAATGTATTGCAGTGAACGGAGAAATCGCAACCGCCCGTTTTCAAAGTCGCGCGAGGCGCGCGCAGTACCGTATATTCACATTTAGAGAGCGCAAGCTAATATTGAACTCTCTAGCGTCTCTGCCGGTCTTTGTCCGAAGCCGAAACGACGAACGGTCGAGGAGTTACACTACAAGGCACTAGTTTCGCCATTATGACTTGGGGTGAGAGACCTACTGAGCTCTCTTCTCTCTCCCCTTTCTCTCATTCGTTTAGCTCTTGGCCCGGAGAAGCAAAGCGCTTGCCTAGAGTAGTGCTGGGTTCATTGCTGCAGTCTCCATGGAAAGTGTCGACAACAAACTCTGGTACTCTCCTTGACAGCTTCCTCACAAATACCAAACACTTCCAGCCACCACGCTATTCTTTCTGTACCTTTTTATATCCAGTGAAAGGTTACATTCGAATCTTTTGCCTTGGTGTTGCCACAAACCTTCACACGAGTGTAACTCCTCGACCGTTCGTCGTTTCGGCTTCGGACAAAGACCGGCAGAGACGCTAGAGATTTCAATATTAGCTTGCGCTCTCTAAATGTGAATATACGGTACTGCGCGCGCCTCGCGAGACTTTGAAAATGGGCGGTTGCGATTTCTCCGTTCACTGCAATACATTTTCCTGCCCTCCAGCAGCAACCGGCAATGACGTCACGGGTGATTAAAATTAATGAAATACCTTGACTCTTGCGTGCAATTGGCGAGCAGGGGCGAGCCAACCTAGTCGTTCGTTCGAGTGGAATTTTCGATGTTTATATTTGTCGTCGGTCCGGTCCGTTTGTACGTCGTGTAAGTGCGCATGCACGGCTTCGTTACGCACTTTTTTATCCGAAATGATTTCAACATTTTCACACACACGACCAATCTTGCCAGCGAGAGAACTCTCCTCCATTCGACGGCATTCACTGCAATGTTCGGTGATATACGTTAGTATACAGTACACGTGTAACGGCGACAGGTAGCTCTGTCTTGCTTCACGAAAGGAAAGCTGTGTGCTGACGGGACGTTATGCAGCCGGAACATCGCGGGCAAATCCCAAGTTGGGTCGCTCCCGCTCGCCAACAATGTTCAACATTTCCACTAGTATTATTCTTCTAAGTTGGCCAGGTTTTGTTGTAAGTGTGCCATCGAGGCATTCAGTTACTCTGAGGATGTAAATGATGAAAAGCAAGAAACTGGTTTCATTTTAGAGTTGAGTGCCAGGCATGCAGGTTTTGCCCGAGGTGCTTTCTGTGCATGTCTGTTGTGCCGTTATTACTCATCAGGTGTGTTTCTTTTGCACTGTGGGTTTCAGCTTCTAATTTTTCTCTTCATAGGAAAATGTGGGTAGTGGTGAAATACCAATCGACTGTGGTGATTTGGATTACGAGACTTCACAGCCCGGTATGTGGGTTCAAATATTATGTTACTTTGTTGTATGCTGTAGCATGCTGGTAGTGTTGGAAGTCTCAATCTCTCTGAGGGTGCATATTCTTTGCAAGGTGTAGAATGGTGCTACCACAATTGGGCATTTTATTTTTTAGGATTAGGCCATGAGTAGCTTAAGTGCACACACAGGCGGGTCGTAATTTAATGACGTCATTATCTATACTCTAAACACATGTATAGTTAGGTGGATCCCTTTGGGTGTGGAGTATCAACAATGCCCTGCTCTTCACAGTGAGGACAGAGTGGAAAATATTCTGCATTGGGCTGCACATTTTGTGATGTACAGTTAATGCATATAAGCTTTATGTCACCGGAGTAATACATTCTGATTACGGATTTGACATGAGCACCGGTTCAGGGAGTTGTTGGCTAGACAACTCCATGGAAACCTCACGAATTTCCTGAACTTTGCACTTTTCCAATGTCCACGGAAACAATCACCGCATAGAAACCTGTGCTGCATTCAAAGGGTGTATCTCTTGACAGAATCACGCATCCTCACACTAGAGTCGCCGAAAAAGCTGATTCATTACATTAGCCGATTTCGTGACTGAAGTAGTTACAGCTCCCTCAATTACTTTCTTTTCAATCTCCTAGAAATATTTAAGTGCTTGCGGTGTCGTTATCCCACTAAACAAGCACATTTTAAAATAACGTCTGCATTAAATGGAGTTTGCACTGAATCTGGGGGCAGCATGACTTTCTAATATACACACTTTTGCCCTTAATTTAGGGTGTTCATCCAAATCACCACAGTGGATTGGTATTTCACTCGATGATCTGGGACTTCTAATGCACATAGGTCTTGCTAGCTTAGAATGGTTACCAGTTTTACTTTTCAGTTCAGGTGAAAGTTGTTTTGACTGCAATAATGTTTGCTGTTAAGTTTGCTTTCGACAGTTTAGTTCAGTGCTATGTATCTACGTTGCTGAGTGCCTGCCGGGGTGGACCGGGTTCTAGGCCACTGAGTGCGGGGATGGCTCACAGGTTTTGGAGGTGGCTGGCTGGTTGCCGGAGGAGGCGGGCTGCTGGCGCCAATCCCCGCACTCCACCACAGAGTGAGGCCATCTGCACTTCACGCACAGGTTCTCGTAACGGCACTGAAGAAAGCGGCACCTCGAGCTCTCCAGGGAATTGAATAACCGGCAGATCTCAGCCGACACCGGCCTGTTGGTGAACCCTGCAGTCGGCGGGTGACGGCCGAGTGAGACAACCATCCGGCTGGCCTGGCAGTGGCTCTGCAGGGGTGTGGAAACCTCCTGTGACGCATGCATATCAGCCAGGCAGTACCGGTACCTCGGTATCTGCCTAGCCCGGCCGGCAAACACCTCGTTGTTGAGGGATGGGTCTACGAATATTAAGACGCGCACCACCAAACTTAGCTCTGATAGTGCTCTGAATGTCATTATCTCAGCTCTCTAGATACAGAAAATATACGGGTAGGTACACATGTGTCTCGAATGTTCTGTTCTTGAATGTTCCAGCGTGATCAGCAACCTGATAATTACATTCCTCAACAACGAAGGGAGCCGCGGTTGGGAGCCTGGCAGTGAAACGCCATATCGTAGGATGCCCAGGCGGAGCCCTCAAAGGTGCAGCTGGCCTTCGTGATAGTCCGCAGATATGTGAAGAAATGTCGGGCTTTCTCTGGGATAGCCGAGGCGAGGATAGCCGCTATCGTGGCGAAGCACTCCGTCCAGATGCTTATATCGGTAACCAGACTGCGGCGCGACCGCTTCGTGTAGCAGCAGGAGCCTTCCACCTGTACCTGCCAGGCCTCGGGCAGAAGTTCCCAAGTGTACACGTACTCCTTCGAAACGATTTTCTTTATGAATTTTGGCGAGACAGAGCCGAAGCCAGGTAGGTGCGCAAGGTCCTCCGAGGACACGGCTTTGTCGGTCACGGTAGCGACAAATGAGGGCCACGCCGAGTGGAGCATTGGATCTCCGCTGCTGGTGGAGGCCATCGTGAATGCCCGTAGCGAGGCAAATGCCGAGCCTGGAAAAGCAAGAAATATCGTCAAGCGACTGCCCGCTTAGGAGCAAGCAGCGGACGTGAACCGAGGCCGAAATTCGATTCACATGCCAAAGGTATCTACAGTGTGGAGCACCCCGGTGGTCGAGCTGGCTAGTGTCCTACAAGTTATGCCCGGGGGTGCCCGGAAAATGGCGGCGTCTACCATTATGCTGCTTGTCGGTCCGAGTCAATAAGTATAATATACCGTGTCGTATATTCGGTACGGTCTCCCTCCTTTGTTTTTCCTGCGTTGTCCGTCCCATATGTTTGCGTCCTTTCTCTCCCTTCTGGCCTACCTCTACCTTCTACCTCTAGCTCTGTACTACTGTGAGCCTCCACGAGGAATGGAGCACTAAATGCAACCGTATAATGCATTTTAGTGCTGCATGTTACTTTAACCAAGTGTGCCTTGTGTTGTAAAACAAATATGCATTAAGTTGATGAAGTACTAGTTAATGCACACTTTTGAGTACATTAAACAGTGTGCAAGTGACAAAATGGAAGGATCTGATTGGCTAAAGGTCACACGGCCAGCACTAAATATCCTTATATTACACATCATTTTCGTATGAACTCAGCGTACTGACCCATTCACGTTTCTCTGCATTTTCTCAACCTGCCATGCCATCCCATGATAATGTATTTTTATTTCTCATCATTTAGCGTACGATATGTAGGTGTTTTCAAAGGACATATTAGCTGAATATTCTATATCCACCTTTTAGATTATAGCATGTTGCCATGCCCAGCCTATCTTCATGATAGTGAATGTGAAGATTTTGGATTTGATGTCACAGTTGAAAGCCCTAAGGTGGGTACAGGGTAGTTGTAATTGGTTTTGTGTATTCTAAGGCCTTTTTGACTATGCATGTTTCTTGGACACACATACTTTTAGCTTGGGTGGTTGATTGTGGAGGCCACTGTTAATGCGTTTGCGTTTCAGCTGCAAAAAGCCTTTCTGCACTAGCCCTAATCTTCAGCAATGCTTTGAGGTATTGACGCTAAGGCACCACAGGAGAGCTGGTATGCATACCTGTGAGTGTGTTGGTCTACGTTCACACGCGCGAGTAATTTACCCTCGATGTGCATGCTCACAAGGGTTACGGTAGTTGTCCTGTTTGTTTGTGTGTATGTTTGTCTGTTACCTGACATCTCACTTCACTTGTAGCTGCCTAAAGATGACATACAAATGTACCGCGAGGAGCAATAAGCGTAAAATGACCTTAAATCTGATAATTAATCTTCGGTTTATTCAAGTCCTTTTTCGGGATTCTTGTTGTTGTTGTTGTCATGTTCAAGTTCGACAAGCGTATCTCGAAAACCGTGATAGGTATAGAGATGAACTTTGTATATTCAATTACCCAGTGTGCAATGTCATATTGAAATTTTTGCAGAATAGCCCTAGGCCATACATTATGATATAAGTGAATGGTGTATAAAACGTGTTTGTGTGTGTAACTTGCTCATGGTGGTTCCTCTCACAATGAACACTGATGTACTAGGATGACAGTTAATCGAAACAGAAATTACAAGTTTGTAAACAAAAAGAAACAGCCTCAGGCGATAAAACCTTGTAACATGTGTTTGTGACTATAGCTTGTTTATGGTGGGCCCTCTCGCAATGAAACTTGGTACACTATTTTACCATGGACAAAGCCGTGTAAACAATAACAAACAGCCTCAGGCAAATAACTCTTAAATGGTGTTAGTTCTTATAACATGCTTATGGTGGGTCTGAAACCTGGTCCACTGATGCTCATGTGTGTTAAAGACTGGCTCCAGCAAAATCGGCTGAAATAAATAACTGAGTTGAATTAAAAGATTTGAGCCAACCGAAGGTTACATTGAAGTCAAACAAAGCCTGATATAAAGCTCAATTAAACCGCAAGTGAGCGTGGTTACATTGACCACGCCCACTTCCGCATCCATGGGATAGCACAATCTTAGTAGCGGTCGCTCTCCAGACAATATCGAAAAAAGCGGCCATGAAGACGCTGGTTATGGGCAGCGAAGTCCACACCTAACAAAACCTAGAGGATTTATCAATTTTGGATAGAGATCCGCGGCACCAAAAGCGAGAAACAGGCGAAGAACGCCAAAAAAACAGTACCGTGGTCGGAACTACTCCCGAGTGTTTCTCTGCCAATCCGTTTTTCAATCTCAATCGAAAATTGATACATTACAAACTGATGGTATACCTATCTTTTGCCCTAAGAAATATCGCCGTAGCACACGTCTAACTACACCGCCTCGACAAAGTTGTACTTTACCGGCCATAGCCATCTTTCTAAACAGCGTCACGTGATTCATCGGAAATTCACTCGCGTGTGTGCGTGTGAGGATCAGCTCCGAGATACCCCAGCCCCTCTAGCCTTAGCTCTAGTCTCGGTACCAGCCCCTCTCAGACGGGAGAGAGGGTCTGGTACGACACTAACCAAGCTCTGCTTGGTGCCGGCGGGTCGTCGCCCGTTCTCTCGCCGGGGCGTACTCGCGGGGACTCGCACCGTACGAGCGCAGCTGGGAGGACTCAGCGTGGCGCGCCCACGCATTGACATGAATACCATGGCAACTATGTAATTTCAAACCGCGGTATGCGTACTCACGCGACAAATGGAAAGCCCAATCCTTAACTTACCTGAGTGTGGAAGAAACATGACAAAACGTCTGAAGCGATAGCTTAAAAGCTAAACTTAAGAAATGTTACTGAAAATGGAAACTTAAGCACAGGGTCCAATTGTTTAGTGCTATCTCTCTAGTAGCATTTCTTCATTTACTCTTATATACTGCCACATTCCCTTTAAGGCTACTAATGTTAGATTTTTATAGGCTTATGCCCCAATGTTTTTGCACACAATGCATGGTAATGGAAACGAGACAGGCAAATAAAAATTCTTTGAATTAAAAACATAGTGAATATAGGGATGGTATAAAAAGCAAGGAGGCAAGACAGGGATGACCTAGTGAACGTTATGCAGTAGTACAATCGATGATGGCTACAAACTTTGAACTGACATCGCTTGCTCGTTTCAAATTTCATCCACGCAAGCCCTATTTTGTTGCCACCTTTACTCACTGACATGACTTTGTTTAGTGGTGTAAAGTGCGAGGACATTGGTGAAGTGATTCTGTAGATGGCCAAGAACACAGCAATGTAAAACTGGTTAGTGAAGAAAATGTAGAAGAGTTAGACTTCACGCAATGCTGTAACAACTGAAAACCGAATAGATTTGCTTCTTATGCCATCCCTATTGTCACCTTTTTTTAATTGGAAGAAGTTTTTTTTACTTGTATGAATTGGATGTGACTCTTCTTGTGTTTACTACAATTTGTTGACTAACATCGCACCGACAAACCCTGGCTACCTGGCTCGCCTGCTGTGCGTTAAGCATGCCACCGCTGGAAAACACCTGCAAACAGCTAGTTTTGAAATTGTCTGCACAGCGAATCACAGCAGCGAAGTTCATACGGTCCCATCTGATTAACATGTATGTAATCAGAATAAAACGTGTTAGTAGTAGTGTTCAGTGTCTAGGACAGAATGTACTTCAGAAAGTGACCTCACCAAAACTGGGACCAGGGACTGACACCCTCACTTATTATTGCAAATACTTTGGGTAAAGCAAACGCTCGCATTTTTCTTTGGATTTTAGCAAAGATGATTTGAAACACTACTAGAAGGTATGCTCCACTTATTTTGATCCTGCGAGAAAGTTGTATTGTGTGAGAGGCCCTGCGAGAAGGCAAATTCAGTGATGAGTAGATGTTGGTCTTGTGGTCTTGGGCATGAAATTATCATAGCATACCAGCCATAGGTATATGTTTGTATTTGATGTTCCTTCTGACAAACCTTTCTGGAAAGTAGCAGTTTAGCAGTGTGTCCTTTAATAAATTTCAGATTGCAATGGGTGTTTAAGAGGGGGTACAATTTTTAGCAGAAGTCAGTTTTCGGCAGCAATGCAGCGCAGACCCACTCGCTTTCCTGGAGCCCCAGAGACGGTTTTCTGGCTCGTCGGTGCCGTAACATCGTTGGTTTCTCTGCATTGTGTACGCCTCTTCTCCGGTGTTTTGTGCTGCTATTCGTCGTCGCCGTCATCGTCAAGCTCAGTCGTGTCAGTATCTGACGTTGCTCTGATGGCTACTGCACCGGGCACAACAGCTTCAGTGCCAGTTGTGGCGGTGGCGGGGCCTTCGCCAGCAGGGAAAGCTGCAACAGCTCCTACTTCGAGCGGTAAGAGCTTTGTGGTGCTGAATGGTGCATTGGGGTTGCTGTCGCCGGCAGGCGGCAACGAGCAGGCGCAGCATTAGGACGATGCGGGCCATGGCAGTTGCTTGCTAGAGTGCGAAGACTCGCATGGGTGTTGTTGCGAGAGGCCCTGGTGCAGGGGCCATGGGAGTCTCCGTTTGTGCCATGGGGGTTGGTTGCAAGGACTCGTTGCTAGACTCTTGCACGGCGCGTGTGGCCGCGGCCGTGGTAGTGTGATTTGAAAAGCCGGCACGGTGGCCGGCTGCTGGTGTTATGGTTACTGATCCACTGCTTGTCCCCATATTATACGGACATACGCCGCCTCCGTGCCGCTAACATGGCAATACGCATGCGTGCGGAGGCGGGCCGGGGGTCGGAGGAGGCATGGCTCGGCATGCTGAGACGCAAGCTACGCCTCCTCTCCACTTTATTGCTGGCTGCAGCAAGTGTTTGACCGTGGGTATTCGTTTTGCTTTTGCAGTGGCTATGGGGGTAATGCCTGAGAGAATTCCAATCACCCCGGCGTTGTCATCGTCTGTGCCGAGGACTGTGTTGGCAACCATTCTCCCGGCCTCGATGGGGCCCACTGCGGCCAGTGGATCACCGACTCCGGCAGTGTCGGGGGCAGCTCCTGCCATATCGGGCACAGTCGCACCCGGCTCTTGCGCTCGCAGTCACCACGGCAGTTACGACGATGACATCTCTCGCCGATGCAACAGCAGCAACGGTATCTACGCCCGTGGCTAGTGTTGGTCACTTGCTGGGGGAAGGCTTAGCCCCTCTGCCTGCAAAGCTCGTCAAGAAGATCGTTGCGTCGAGTTTGTCGAGATGGCGGACCTCCTGCCGGAGGCCTGGCTGCTGGATGAGGCGGCCATGGAAGCCCAGCTGAGGTGCCACCGGGCCCCGGTAACAGATATCCTGCAGTGGATACAATGCTTTGCAATGTTTGTCAGTACGGTGTCTATAGCCTGTCCGGGTAAAACGGCAGAGTTGATGGCATACATGGCCTTCATTGTGAGATGCCATCAAGACTAAGAGGGACTGGCATGGGTGCAGAGATCTTAACTGGTCCGTTGTGAACACGTCACTGTTCAATTTGTGCTTGGGGGGAAAGCTGGGTGTAGGACGATATGCCAACTATGCCTCAGCGAACACCAGACGACCGAAAGGTGCCCGAGGTGCGTTTTGGCATGGGGCAGCACATCGGCAGCCTTCGACGGAGGGAGGTTCTCTCCTGTGCCTCAGCAGCCATACCCTATTCCGGCACAACCCACGGTGGAACTCTGTCGTTTGTTTAATGCCCGGAATGGGAACTGGTGCCGGTTCCCCAATTGCCGTTTCTCGCATACCTGTTCGAAGTGCAGGGCTTCGGGCCATGGAGCCGGGCAGTGTGGGACCCAGGGGTCCAGTTGTGGCGCTTGGGGGAAACGCCCTCCTCTGAGATGAAGGGGACAGTCGCTAGCACTTAACCTGTAGCTATCATATTATGTCATGTATGTATGGTATTGTATATAATGTTGTGGATGTGCAGTTTTAAAAGAATGGGGGAAGGGGGGAGGGGGGGCATACATAAATAAACGGTACGGGCAAAGGGCATGATAGTGGAGCTTCAACTTGAGGGAGAATGGTAGCATTGACATAAGTGTGGCCTGCTTCGGCTGTCACATAGTCCGCTAGCTTGCTAGTGTGACCGACGTTGTATATACCTCATGAATTTCAAGCGGCACTGGGCAGGTCGCACG